ATATATATATATATATATATATATATACTGTGACCACCATGTGCACATTTTTCACCAGTCTTTGCTGGGTTTTTCACTTGGATATAATGATTTATTTATTTTTGAATTATTTAAAAATGTTATGTCTGTCAAACTGTCAAACAGATATTTTCATATCGTCATGCATGCTGATGTAAAGCTTATAAGGAATCTGAAACATTATTATTATTATTATTATTATTTTCGTTATGAGATTTTTTTTGGTTCATCTGTATTTAAGATTAAATTGGTGCCCATTTTGTCCCCACTCTGTTTCAGATGGCCCTCTGGTCCCCTGACGGTTCCCGTTAATCAGTCTATGAGAGCACGCACGCGCTTCAGGCGAAACTCCAGTCAATTTATTAAACCGAGATGGAGCACCTCTGGAAGCAGGGATCAGGCTCCGCTTTGCTCCATCCCTCATGATTAACTTGTTTGAGAATTACAGTGGACAATTATTTTTCTGCAACAGCTGCGGCTCAGATGAGGCCCAGAAATAAATATCCATCAGGCCAGAAATGAGCGAAGACCTGAAAGATGCTGGGATCATTTTTATTATTATAACGTTATGACGCGCTCATGATAATTTGCCTTTTTTTTTTTTTTTAGTTTAAACAGCAACTTATTTAAAAAAGTGCAAATGTCTGGAAGAACTTTCAACAAACTCTGAAACCTAAAAATTATTTTCCGCACGAGATTTTAGAAAAAAGTGTGTGTGTGGGTGGGGGTGCTCCATGACTGCTCCATCACAGTCCATACATGACGCGCGTGGTGTTCCCCGTGACGCACCTGGATTTTACTCCTCAGCAAACATTTGAACCAAAATCTCACCATTTTCTTCTCGGTTATCTTCTCCTCTAACTTCTTTTGTGTTTAGTTTTCCAAACTCACTTCATGTGAAATAATTCAGTTTCATTCTGCTTTTCATCCTGTTGCTCGCTGCCTCTCAGACAATCTAAAGAAATGAAATCGTATGTTTTCTCACCCGTGCAGGCTCTTGCTCTCCTGGTGGCTCCTGCTCTCTGCACTGCCTGTGCACGAGCTGCTCCTTCCATTTGATCCGCAACCCTCAAATATCGTTCCGTGCGCGCTGTTGCGCTCCTTACCTCGTGCACCACTGATTTAAAAAAACCATCATCTTTCTTAACGCATGCACTTATTAAAAACTCTGACATGCCTCTGTGACGAAATATTATTATAAAGTTTATTTATAAAATGAAGTTGTTAATTTTTGGAAACATTACAACATGCGCACATGCTTGTTCACGTTATTTTTGTTCACAAATTATTTATTTTCTATTTTTCTGGGCTCTAAATTAACTTTTTCCTCTTATTACAACAACAATTTGCAGCGCGCGTCACAAGAAGCACCAACTGGTGAGGTGCTTCCAGTTCATTTCCAACTCCATATTAGAAACAGAACAAAGTTATCCTAATCTGGCTCATTCGTTTGATTCCAGACACATTTCACTGCGCGTTTTTACGCATCCTCTCATTGATTGGTGAGCTACTAGCGGCGTGAAGGCGCGCTGCAGCTGCGGACTTTGCGCGCTCTGGCGCCATCCTTCTTCCAGCTGCGGGCGCAGCTCTCCTCGTCTCTGCAGCTCTTAGGCTGCCTGAGGTGTCTGTCAAAGTGCAAGTAGGAGGAAGGAGACAAGAAAGAAAGAAAAAAACGTATTAGAGAGGGAAAGGAAATCTGAGCAATATTTCTTTTGGTAGGCGGGGGATGGTCGTGAAGAGAACAATCGGGTTGACTTTGCCAAGAAGCCACCTCTGAGCGTGTCAGGTTACTTTGAGTGACAGCGTAACCATGGCAAATAATTTGACTAAGGCTATTGTCTTATCCTCGCCATCCCCGGGTCAGATAACCGACCAATCAGAGTTCATAAAACCGCTTGTCTTGCCAGCTTAGAATAATATTATTAAAACGAGCCAGCGAGTCTGGGAGTTTTTGTCGAAGCGGCAGAAAGGTGGAGGAGGACGGTGGAAGGAGTAGCAAATGTCTCTTTCTCTCCAACTTTGTGAGGACCTGTAGGCTCGAGCCTTCCCTGCGACCCAGAGGTGGATACTGCCAAACGCTGAGCAGCTGCAGGCTCCAGCCTGCTCGTGCTTTTTGGACCGTTTGGACACTTTGTGGACTTCATGCGTTCAGACTGAGAGGAGACACGGTGGAAGTGAGGCACGCGCCAGTCTGTCTTGTTCTGTCGCCATGTCCATGCTGCCGACGTTTGGTTTTACGCAGGAGCAAGTGGCGTGCGTGTGCGAAGTCCTGCAGCAGGGGGGGAACATCGAGCGGCTGGGGCGCTTCCTCTGGTCGCTGCCGGCGTGCGAGCACCTCCACAAGAACGAGAGCGTGCTGAAAGCGAAAGCCGTGGTCGCCTTCCACCGGGGCAACTTCCGAGAGCTCTACAAGATCCTGGAGAGCCACCAGTTCTCGCCGCACAACCACCCGAAGCTGCAGCAGCTGTGGCTCAAGGCGCACTACATCGAGGCGGAGAAGCTGCGCGGGCGGCCGCTCGGCGCCGTGGGGAAGTACCGCGTGCGCAGGAAGTTCCCGCTGCCCCGCTCCATCTGGGACGGCGAGGAGACCAGTTACTGCTTCAAGGAGAAGAGCAGGAGCGTCCTCCGGGAGTGGTACACCCACAACCCCTACCCGTCCCCGCGGGAGAAGCGAGAGCTGGCGGAGGCCACGGGACTCACGACCACGCAGGTCAGCAACTGGTTCAAGAACCGCCGGCAGCGAGACCGAGCAGCTGAGGCCAAGGAGAGGTGAAACTTTTTTATTTTTTGTATCACTAAAAAGTTGGTGTGTGGCACTTTAAAGTCACAAAACACGATCCGCACCATTTCCACCATGCAGTTTTATTTTTATTACATAAAAAAAAAACTCTTTTTGAACTCCACGTGCACACACATTGCTGCTTGTTTGGAAATGTTTTAGAAAATTATGCGCTGCGCGTCCCAAAACTGAAAAGCAGGAAATGAAAGGTTTGTTGTGAGCTGATTACAAGGACCCAGGAGGTGCATCCTCTTTCATGTTGCAGTAATTACACTCACTTCCAACATGAACTTTTGATCTCATGTCAACATGAAGAAATAAACAGAGCTATGCCGCGTCTTGATATTTCATTTAAAGTTTCCCAAAGTTTGGAAATCACTCATGCGCGTCTGCAGTCGCGTGCTCGCTCGGCTGGTGTCTTCTTTCACCTTCTCTCCACTAATTCAGGCTGAAAGCTCCGCGTAAATCATGTCGTCGTGTTGGGAAACGCTTCGGACTGTTGCCGCATGTCTCCTGGAACTGCACGCGCAAAATCATTTGGCTCTCCTGTGGCCTCGTCTAATTAACCCCAAGTACAAATACCTGTAATTATAGAGGGTGTAGAAGTAGACCTATTGTCTCCCCAACATTTGGAGACATGCCTCCAATTCGTTTTTAATCGTTGGCATTTTGGCGCAGATTTTGCGTCAGTTGTTAAAGCGTTGATAAGTCATTTTATACTTTATTTTATATGGTGCAAATCAAATGATTGCTGCTTTTTGTTGTTGTTGTTTAAGAATATTAAAGTTAGTTTTTTTTAAGAGTAGAATGTTATTTTGTTTCTTTACTTGTTGCACGAGCTTGTGCGTCAATCCTAAATGTGGCTTTGCTTCACTTCCTCAGGGAGAACAACGAGAACTCCAACAACAACAGCCACAACCCGCTCACTTCTTCCATGAACGGCAATAAAACTCTTTTGGGGAGCTCGGACGACGACAAAACGCCGTCGGGGACCCCGGATCACACGTCCCCGAGCCCGGCTCTGCTCCTCGGTCCAAACCCGGGCTTGGCGTCCCTGCACGGCCTTGCGCCCCCGCCGGGACCCAGCGCAATCCCCGTGCCCGGCGGCGCAGACTCAGTGCACCTTCACCACTCTGTGCACCATGACACTATACTGAACACTATGTCTTCGAATCTAGTGGACCTGGGCTCTTAAAAAATAAAGAGACGGAACAGAAAAGGGGACAATAAGAAAACTTTTTTTTTCTTTTTTTTTTGTGGAAAAGAAAATTGAGCAAAGCTTCAAGCACTTGTGAGTTGGAAGGCTGGAAAACTGCAAACAAACCATTTAATCTCATAAACTCTTCTCTTTTTTTTTTCTTTTTTTTTTTTTCAACAAGTGGCAAAAAATCTAGCAGTGGGAGGATTATCATCCCGACAAGAAGTCCTCCTGTTTGGAGGATTTTCAAGTCCAGATCCGAGCACTGCTCACGCACTGCAGAACTTTCTGTCCAAACAGAAACGGAGCAGCAGAGGTTCGCTTTCATTTACTTAAGGAATACAAAAATATATATTTTGAAAAATAAAAATGGATAGATTATGTGACTTGTTAAGACAGCTGTGAAAGAAAGAAAGAAAGAAAGAAAGAAAGAAAGAAAGAAAGAAAGAAAGAAAGAAAGAAAGAAAGAAAGAAAGAAAGA